ACTGGCCGAGGCTGCCAGCCCCCGGGGGTAACAGGCCTGGGGCTGTGAAGGCATCTTGGGTAGTTTCACTCCCTGCCACGAAGCGATGCTGGGTGCTCTCCGTGTCGTTTGCTGCTTGCAGCGGCTGTCGTAGGTCTTGGTAGCACTCCCTCAATGCCGTCGGTGTCCCTGATAGAGGCTCTTGCTGTGAGCAAGGAAGCCTTGCTCAAGCTCAGGGACTTTCCCATCATCTTGCGTTTACTGAGGTAGAAATAATTTAATTCTGCTTGCCAAGTCCCGCCTGTAGCACCAGTGCCTTAACAATTCTCTGCGTTGCCTTTCTAGATAGAGCTGGAGAAAAGCCACTATTCAGATCATGAAATCCGCAAGCTGGAGGAGGAGGAGCAGCTGAGGAAGAGGAAGGAAAGCATGTACGATGAGGATGAAGCACCCGGCAAAACGGTCATCATGGCTCAAGACCTGGAGGACAAGTGGGAACAGAAGTTACTGCGGTTTGAAGCTGCTCCGCGGATAACAGGTACAGGCTGAAGTTCGTGGTGGGTGAGAACACCCAGATTGTCTGCTAAACTGCTGAGTGCAATTCAGTGGAGGGGAGGCATTTGCTGACCCTTTTTTGTTTTAGAGGGTCTTGACTCCATGGCAGCACCATTAGCACATGAGGAATTAACTGGCTGACAAGGGAATCAGCATTCCCATGCTGCAAAGTGCATGCTCACACAACCTTATCAGAGCAAAGCAGTGAAAATGGATGTTGTGTCCAGACAAGAAAAACCTCAGGTTGCTCGGTTCCCAAGCTCGCCTAGCGCTCTTGTTGATTTTTGTCAAGATGGAGATCCAGGCTGCTTGCTGTAAATTCCCTTTGGAAATGAAACAGGTAGAGTGCAGCCTAGCAGTGGGTTCCGGTTGAATCCTGCATTGGCTTCCAGAGCGACTGAGAGCATTTCTATCTAGGTTTTTGTCTTGTTCCATGTATCCATGTTTGTGTATTATTGCTGGAAGGGTGTGAGCTGGAGAGGGGTGATGAATCAAGGGGATCAGACCAGTGCTGCCAGGAGACTTTGTTTCCAGCATGTGTTGGTTTTTGGCAGATGCTGATAAAAACAACAATCGAACATCGTTGAACAGGAGGCTGGACAGTAACCTGATGCTTCTGGTGAAACAGAAAATCGGTAACCAGGAGCTGTGGCTCCTGCCTCAAGTGGAGTGGCAGCCTGGAGAGACGCTGCGAAACACAGCTGAGCGAGCCATGGCTAACATTTTGGGGGTGTAGGTTGCCGGGGGGG